ACCCCCTGGGTGTATCGTAATTCATATCCTCCAATGGGACACCTCCATAGCCCAGAGTCATCCATCAGGCTCTCCAGTTAGAATTTTGCACGGCAGAAACTTCAGTCGCCTAGAAACTATCTTTGAAAACATTGATGGAATGCAGTTTCGGTTTTGCAAGCTGCCGCACTGCTCCCCCCACCCTTTCGGTTGGCAACTCTTAAAAAGACCAGAGAAATATTTTATGAGTTGACACTCCTGCGGTCTCTTTTTTACCGTCTGTTTAGTTAGGGTTGATTCTCTTTTTTCTCTGCTCTGTTATGCAGCTGCAGGCTAGGCTGCCTGTTATCTATGCGGCATCTCTACGACCCCACCCTACCTCCCATTACCCCCAATGCCGTCACCGATACATTTTGATACTTTCCGCATTACCGGCTGTCCTCGACTTACCACCACGATTGAGCCCCAAATTTCCGCTGCTGAGCAAGACATTTCTTAAGCGAGTTTTTTTTTCCCCACACGACCTGTCTTGCCACAGTTGTTGAATGGATCGCTGCAGTTGTTAGTAACCTTGTTGTCATACGAATCTGGCTTTCCCCCTTGACTTGGCTCGTCAGAAAGTCGCAAAAGGAGATCGCCCCCGAGACACTGCGACCGCCATAAATACGAACCAGTTGCCAAGCATCCAAATTTGAATCACATGATCACGGGGAATACTGCAACGGTCGTAAGTGTGGAAAACGGTCGTAAGTCACTTTTTTTCAGTGCCGTTGTAGGTTCAGACAGTCACTAAACAAACTGTTGTAAGTCAAGGACTACCTGTACTGCTCCCCACCCCCATAATGGAGTTCCACATGCCAACCATGATGGTTTCTGGGCAATGTGGAGATTCAGACCCTGCTTAGCTGCCGGGGCCTTTTTGTTCCTTCTGACCATCTCCAGTTGGAATATCAACCAATCTTATCAAATTTTGCTTACCTTCCTAGTCCAGCATATCATTTTGAATAGAATCCTCCGGCCCAAAGCCATCAAAATGAAACTAATAACCCTTTGGGGTTAAATTTGTAAAAAAATCATACTGTTAAAAAACATTTCCCTTACCAGCAGTGCTGTTTCATGTTCATTTTTTTAAAAAAAAATATGATTAAAAAATATGCAGTACATGGCTGGCAATCGGCTTTGTTCCTAACACCCGCTGATTTCCCACAGCCCCTTTTTGGTTATCCCAGCCTTCTTGCAAAACCTTTTAACTCAAGAGCAGGGATGTGCAACTCTTTAGTGACTCTTAAGACTTGTGGACTTCCAACTCCCAGAATTCCCCCCCCCCCCCCCCAGGGAGGTTTTCAAGAAGAGACCAGACCCTGCCATTTGTCCTGAGCGGTTTAGGATCTCCTGCTTGAGCCAGAGGAGGTGGGCTAGAAGACCTCCAGGGTCCCTTCCCACTGTTGTTCTGTTACTCTGCCGGAGAATTCTGGGAGTTGAAGTCCACAAGTCTTAAAAGTTGCCAAGGTTGCACATCCCTGCTCGCGTTTCTCCCTCTTGCAGGCCAATTCTCCTTTGCTGGCCTGCTGCCCCCACGAGATACGCTGACACGCTGCCTGCCTGATCTCCAAAGTTAGCTGGGTTTCCCTGCCTTCCCCTCCTAAACACACACCCCCCCGCCCCCCAGAAAGGTTCCTGGATTCACCCAGAGCCCCCTGAGGAATTCTCGCGGCCTGCTTCTGCTTGCAACCTCGACGTTAACACCTTCCGTGCATGAGTTTTTAAAAATAATTTTAAAAAAGAAAACGTTTTGCTTTTTTATTTAAAAAAAAAAAAAAGAAGCAGTGGAAAATTTTGTTCGTTTTAGTGGCGGTTTGGCTTTTTTTTTTCTTTTTTTTTCCTTTTAAATTTTCTCCCATCCCCCACAGATTAGGTTGCAGCTCTGGGATACTGCGGGCCAGGAACGTTTCCGTAGCCTCATTCCCAGTTACATCCGCGACTCTGCCGCCGCTGTAGTAGTATACGATATTACAAGTAGGTATATCTGGCTCTGGCTTTTGACTTGTGTTTTTTTTTTTTTTTTGTCTTGCTTGTTTTGACCGATTTTCGTTAGGTACGGTTACAATTGTGGGACACGGCAGGCCAAGAGCGGTTCAGGAGCTTGATTCCTAGCTACATTCGTGACTCCACTGTTGCAGTTGTTGTGTATGATATCACAAGTGAGTGGGGGGGGGTGCATTTCCAGTATTCTTGGTGCATGCTCTTCCTTCCTTCCTTCCTTCCTTCCTTCTGCTCCCTCCCCTCCCTTCCGTTTCCTTTTCCTTTCTTTCCCCCTTAACCTCCTCCTTTCCTTTCCTTTCCTTTCCTTTCCTTTCCTTTCCTTTCCTTTCCTTTCCTTTCCTTTCTTCCTAACTTCCTTCCTTCCCCTTTCCTTTCTTCTTTCCTTTCCTTCCCTCCCACCCTCTCTCCTTCTACCTTCCTCCTTCCTTTCCCTTCCTCCTTTCTTCCTAACTTCCTTCCTTCCCCTTTCCTTTCTTCCTCCTTACCCTTCTTTCCTCCTTCCATTTCCTTCCCTCCCACCCTCTCTACCTTTCCTTTCCTTCTTTCCTTTTCCATTTCCTTTCCTTTTCTGTTTCCCTCCCATTCCCCCTTTTCCTTTCGTTCCTTACTTTCTCCCCTCCCTTCAAGCGAAGCTGTGCATGCTATACCACAGTTGTGCTTGTCCCTCCCTGTGGCATGAAAATGGTTTTCTTGCCTGGAGCTTCAAGCAGGAGGCTCTCTACCATGCTTCAAATGGACAGGAACCTGTTTGACAGGATTCTCCTCCGGGGCTCAACCCTAGAGGTGGCCAGGGACTGCACCCACAATCTACAGAGCCATAAGATTGACTCGTGAATGTGTGCAGGAAGCATTTTCTTCCCTATTCATTAGACCAAATTAATGTGCATGTTCAAGATTTGAAAGGGGACTCCAGCTTGAAAGCTAGGCTTTTTCGAAAGAGGCTTCCTGGTTTTTCCAGTTCTTTAAATTTAAAACATTCTATCATCTCCTGAGCAAACCGCGGAGTTTTTGCTTCCTCTAGACTAGAGGCAAATCCTCTCAGTTTTGTTGATTCTGCTTCTCACTGTTCTCTCTTGTGCATTCCTTCCCTCCCTGTATATGTGCTCAGAATCCCTGAAAGCAACCCCAGTCTCATCACGGTCTCAATTCATCTGCTGTTCTGTGGGTATTATTGTCCTGTGTTGCCTTTAAGTTTTTCGAGTTTCTCTATTGAAATCCTTCATTGTTGTTTTTGCATTGCTCCTCAAAGCTCCAGGGATTGTAACATCCTGTTCTCATGTACACAAAAACCTTCTTTCCACCCCCCCACTCCTTCGAATTAGTTTCACTGATTAATTTCCTATAAAGGTATGTACTTTTCAAAGAACCATATTTAGATATTTCCCTCTCCGTCTGTAAAGCACAGACACACAAAATACTAGTAAGCATTCTTGAAACCTTATTTTTATTGCAAGTACATTAAGCAACTCCTGGTTTCTCTTCAGTTTCAGATCTGCCTTTGAAATAAACTGAATGAAGAGGAATTGATATTGAAACATGAAAGAAAAAAATTGAGTTCTTTTTATAAAATCTAGACATTGCCTGAATGGAATGCTTTTGAGTTTTAATGCTCCAGTGTACCCAAGCATGACAAAAATATATATTATTAATTGATTGGCAGACGAAACCATTTCACTTCTGAGAGTATAATTTGCTGTTTTGAAAAGTTGGTTCCTATGAAATGTTTTTTCCCCCCTGACCTAAAGCTACAATATGGAAGTCTGTAGAAGATTCTCAGTCATCCAGGTCAGTGTTGTCCCAAAGGTGCTTTTTCAGGAGGCAACTGGACTTTCTTGTTTTTTCTTTGAAAACATTTCACTTCTCATCCAAGAAGCTTCTTCAGTTCTGACTGGATGGTGGGGAAGGGAAGTATTTATATTCCTTGCAGACAGCTGGTCATTTGCCATCCTTTTAATGAGTCATTGAGGCCACTTGGAGGTTTGCCTGTGTCCTCAGGGTCACCTAAGTCGTGCTCCTGTTTCCTGTGGCCCGCAATTTTTCCCTCTGGAAATCCATTCCTACTCTCACACCATTCAAAGGATACTCATACCAAATTGCATAGCTAAAAGTCTGAAAGAAAAAGAAAAAACAAGAAAATGCAGTTGCCTCGTAAATTGCAGAAAAAATTGTAGACTACAGGAACCATTAGCCCTACTCAGGTGACACCGAGGACCACAGATAAACCTCCAAATGGCCTCAACGACCCTCTAAAAAGGATGCAGATGACCAGCTGTCCGCAAGGAGTATAAATCCTTCCATCCTTCATCATCCAGTCAGAGCTGAAGAAGCTTCTTGGATGAGAAGCGAAACATCTTCAAAAGAAAAAAAGCAAGAAAGACCAGTTGGCTCCTGAAAAAAGCACCTTTAGGATTACAATATGGAAGCATTAATGAGATGGGTCGTGGTACTAATAACCTGGTTGTGATGCCAAGAAAAAAAACACGTTGCTTCTGTGTCACTATCAATGTCTATTGAGACCTGGGGCCCGTTTGCTTCTTACTCATCGAATCAAATCCCTTTCCTGCCCTGACAAGTTGCTTTCAATACCTTTGGGGAATTTTGCAGTAGACGTACTGTGTGCAGGTGATATTTTTAGATTGATGAACACATTTGGAACATTGAAAACCATGTTGTGGATGTTATTGCGCTGATGACGCTACCCTAATAGCCAATAATGCAACGGATCTACAAGCTCAAGGAATAAAAGTCGAGCAGCACGGTGGAAAAAGAATGGAACTAACATTAAATGAAAAGAAGATGGAACTAATGTTTGTAAGCCGCCCAGAGTCACTGAGGGTGAGTTGGGTGGCCAGATAAATCTTAAGAAATAAAGACAGACTATGGGTAGAAAGGAATTCTAGCTTTAAAATTGACAATGAAGATCTCAAAGTGGTGGGCAGCTTCTGCCTTTAGCACCAGAGGTCAGCACTAAAGGAGCAAGCGGTCAAGAAAAATGCCCAGCAAACTAAGTAGTGTAACCATGGAGAAGATGTTCAGATGCCAGGATGTGTTCTGACCCAACCAAGTTCCCAAAGAGCAAACAGAGACAAAGGCAGCAGCCCCCACCTTTTAAGGTTTAATAACGAATTCTGTTCTGAAGGCTGCTTTCCACGAATTAGCTCCGACAAGAAAGAGCCTTGCCAAGTTGTTCGTCAAGGCTGCCAAAAACCCAGAGATGAGAACTAATTTTCAAAATTCTCCAAACACGAACTAAGATGTCCACCAGTTGAGCTTCAGAGCTTCTTTGCTTTCTGCAAAGAACGCTTTTTCAAACCTGGCTTTTATCCTCTTGAGGGAGGGGCCATTACCTTGCAGCCTTACTCCCGAGTCGCCTGTGCTGCTGTAA